AGGCCGCAACAGCAGCAGCTGCTGCTGCAGCAGCAGCGCCAGGAGCACGAGCTGCCTCGCCTACAGAGAAGCCGCAAACACGTGGAGCAGCCAGCAGCGACGTCGCTGCTGCTGCTGCTGCTGCTGCTGCAGGGGCACAGACAAAGGCTGCAGCAGACCCACCAAGCCGCCGTGTCACTCGCAGCATCAGCAGCAGCAGCACCAGCAGCGGCAGCAAAGCTGCGCTGCTGCAGCAGGACCTTCCCGCGGGGAAAGGCAGAGGACGGGGCACTGCGCGCGTTTCTTCTGTAAAGAAGCAGCAGCAGCAGCAGATGCAGCTGGAGCAGCAGCAGCAGCAGCAGCAGCGGGAAGAGGACTGGCTGGAGGGGCCCCAGGGCGTGGCCTGCCGGCGCCTGCTGGACTTCCAGGGAGAAGTCGGGAGGCTCATAGATTTTGTTTTTAAGGGAGACGCGAGAATGGTGGAGGTAATAGGAACGGTGAGATGACTTTTAATTCTTTTTCTTTTTTTAATTTTTTTTCTATTTCTGCTGCTGCTGCTGCTGCTGCTATTTGAGTCCTTTTCTCCTATTTTCCCCCTCCAGCTCCGGCTCTTGGGGCCCCCAGCTTCGCCCTGCAGCGCTGCTGCTGCTGCTGCTGTCGGGCCCCTCTTTTTGTTCGTTTTATTTTTCATTTATTTCTTGTCTTCCGCAATTTTCGTCTTTTCTGCTGCTTCTCTCTTTAAAGCTCCTGCTGCAGTTATGACTAGGGAATTAGAAGCAGCAAAAGATCTAGCAGCTGCTGCACCTGTGGCTCTGCGCTTTTCTCTCTGCTTCCGATCTTTTGGATTTCCGCTTTTGTTTATACTCTTTAGCTGCTAGTTGCATCTCCTGTCTTTGTTTCTTTTTGCCTTTTTTGCTTTTTCTTTTTTTTGCCGAGTGGAGGGTTTGGGTCGAGCCCCTCTGCTGCCTCTTGTTATCTTTTGCTGCAGCTTGAGCCGCTGGGCGCAGGGCTAGGGTTTAGGTGCTTTGCAGTGCAGTTAGGGTTTAGGGTTTGCTGCTGTTTTTCAGCCCAGAAGGGTTTAGGGTTTGCTGCTGTTCTTCAGGCCATAAGGGACGCTCTCTCTCACGTTTCTTCCTTAGCAGCTTCACTCTGCCTCTACTGGGATCGGTTCCTTCCACGGCTGCAGAGATATTCACAAACCAAGAAAGTTGCGGTGCGCTGCTGCTGCTGCTGCTGCTGCAGCTGCTGCTGCTGCAGCTGCTGCTGCTGTTGCTGCCAGACTCTGTGCTTCTGCTCTAACAGTTCGCTTGCTGGAAGGAGCTCCGCAGCTCGTGCTGCTGTGCAGGATCAGCAGCAGCTGCTGCAGCAGCGGCAGCTGCCACTCTCATCATTGCTTGGAGTGAAGTTACGCACGAGCTGCTGCAGCTATACGGGGCTTAATGCAGAGCAGCAGTTGGCCCGCCTTGCATTGCTGCTGCTGTGGCTGCTGCTGTGCTGCTGCAGGCCCATCTTGTCGCGTTGCTGCAGAACATGCCGGACAGAGCTGGCTTCCTTGAGGCTTACAGGGTAACTTTGCTGCAGTGGCGGCTGCTGCTGCTTTTTGGCTATTATCTTTTGTGCTGCTGCTCTCCTCGATTACAGCGGCAGCAGCAGCACCAACAGCAACGCGAGAAGCAGCTGCAGCGGCAGCAGCTCGCACCTCTTTGCTCGGTTGTTGCTGCTGCGCCGTCAATCCAGGAGAGCTGCTGCTGCTGCTGCCATTAATGCTGCAGATTTTTTCGTGCATTGGGTTTCTGCTGCAGAGGCACCTGGGAGATCGACTGCTGCTGCGCGGCTGCAGGGGAATAGAGCAAGAGAAGCTGATTGCAGATCTTCTCGAGGTGTGTGCAGCTGCAGCAGCTGCTAGAACTCTCTTAGTGCTGCTGTGCTGCTGCTGGTGCTGCGGCGAAGCTGCTGCAGCGTCCCCTGTTCAGCTGCTGTTGAGCCCATTTGCTTCCCTTTCGGCTTTTTTGAAGTTCCTTACTGGGTTTTTCTTGCCTCATTCTTACTGGGTTTTTCTTGAATCATTCCCATTCAAAGCTTATTCCATTTATTATATTTTTCTTCTTTTTTCTGTCCATTCTGCAGAGGCACGCAGGGGCGGACCTGCAAGCAACAGTGCGCATTGCTGCAATGCCGCGAGACATAGAAGCAAGTGCGCTGCTGTCGAGGGAGTTCCAGCAGCAGCAGCGGCAGCAGGAGCACCAGCAGCGGAAGCAGGAGCAGCAGCAGCTCGATGAGCGGCAGCGGCAGCAGACGCACCAAATGTGCATGCGGCACCTCCGAGAAACTGTGCAGATCAGCCGAGAGCAGCAGCAGCAGCAGCAGCGAGGCCGCAGCTCACAGCGGCTGCAACAACTGCAGCTGCAGCGACAGCGGCAGCAGCACCAGAAGGAGCAGCAGCAGCTGGCTAAGCAGCACCAGCAGGAGCAGCAGGAACACAACTCCCAGAGGGAACAGCAGGCGCAGCAGCAGCGACTGCAGCAAGAGCTGCTGCTGCAGCAGCTAGATGATGCCGACGAGACACCCGAGTTGCTGCGGCTCCCGTATCCGCAGCAGCAGTTCAGCGCCCTCATTCTGCGCTGGAACTGCTGGGCTGTGGAGGAGAGGCAAAGAGACTTGAGAAACAGCACGCAGCTGCTGCTGCCCCCGCAGCTGTCTCAGCCAATAGTGTCTTTCACTGCTTTCTACACTGGCAAGTACTCCAGCAGGGTTTTGGCGTGGCAGATGCACTGCAGCAGAGTGACATTCGCAACATCGCTGTACACCCCAGCAGCAGCAGCAACAGCAGCAGCTGCTGCGGCGGCTGTCGCGGTCAGCGAGGAAAACAGCAGCAACTGCGTCAGAAGGCAAAGCCAGCGGCTCCAACCTCCACCCTCGCAGGCAGCTCGTAGCTGCAGTAGCAGCAACAGCTGCAGCAGGAACAGCAGCAGCAAGAACCCCGGCAGCAGCAATGCTTGTAGCAAAAGCGCCACAGCCACTAGCTCAGGGCCTCTTGTGACGCTGCTAGAGACTGACCCGTATGCTGCTACGATCCTGCTGCTATTCAATGATGAGTAAGTGTTTCTACCACTGCTGCTGCTGGTTTGTTGTTTCTGCTGCTCGTTGTTGCTTTGCTGCTGCACTGGAAGTTCTTTGAGCCACTGCTTGTGCTGCAGCGCGAGAGCAGCAAGGGGCATTTCTCTGGAAGAAATAGAGGCGGAGACGAAATTTCGACCTGCAGAGATTACTGAAGCAGCAGCATCGCTGCTGCGGCCTCTCCCACTGCTGATGCTGTGTCCTCCAGGGCATTTGCAGGAGCAAGCAGAGCAGCAGGAGCAGCGGAGAGGGCAGCAGCAGCAGCAGCAGCATGAAGAAGATGGCAGGGACCGCAAGGCATTTGCTGATGATCTGGAGGCCAAACTTGCTGGTGGTTGGTTGCTGCGGGTGAACGAGACCTTCTGCAGCAGCAGCGACAGCAGCAGCAGCAGTAGCAGCAAGTGGCAGTACATCCGCTGCTGTCCCGCGTTATCTTTGGCTGCCATTGCTGAAGCAAAGCAGCAAAAGAAAGAAACGATGGTGCAGAGCAAGAAGGAAGAGGCGCCCACGTCAGCAGCAGATAAGAAAATCCTGCTGGAGGCAGCTCTTGTGCGAATTCTCAAGGTACTTCGCAGAAACGGAACAACAACTAAACCCCAAAAGCTGCACAATTAGTGTAGAAAAGCCTCAGCAATGAAGGCTGCAGTGGGATTGCGATCTAGCGCTGCTTCCTGTAGGGCTTAATGCGCAACTCTGGAAGAAAACATGGTGGAGAGCCAGCAATCGTGCCGCTGCTGCTGCGCTGCTGCTGCTGCCTTTACTTGTGCCTCTGCGTGTCTACTTTCATGCCATTTGCTCTTGCATTTCAACAGCAAGAGCGCCTGCGTGTACTGCTGCTGCTGCAGCGTGAGGGCTCAGCCGACGATGCAGCGCTGGCTGCTGCAGTTCTGGGACCAACAAGGACACCAGCAGCAGAGGAGCAGCTGCAGCAAGCTTTAGGTTCTCTTGTGGAGAGGGAGTTTTTGCGAAGGGACGAGGAAAATCCGTAAGCTTAGTCTTTGTTGGTGCTGCTGCTGCCGTTGCTGCTCTTGCTGCTGCTGCTGCTGCTGGTGCAAGCCACACACTGGCAATAACGCCGAGATCAGTGAGGATTTACTTTCCTTGTCTGCCTACTGCATTCAGGAGGGTCTTCCACTACGTCCCATAGCAGTCAACTACAGGCAGCTGCTGCACAATTGGCAACTGCAGCAACAGCGACAGCAGGAGCGATTGCTACTGCTGCTGTTGCTGTTCTTGTACTCCGCAAAATGGCAGCAGCTGAGGCCGCAGACGCTGCAGCCAGAGATGCAGCGGCAGCAGCTGTTGTTTCTTTGGCCGTTACCAGAGTTTCGCTGGTAAGTGCAGCAGCTCGAATTGCAGCAGCAGCAGCAGCTGCAGCCGGACTTGTGGGGTGTCGGGGGGCATGGAGAGGATCCAGCCACTGAGCCTCGCCGCACTTTTGTCTTTGATTTTAATTAATTTCCAACTGCGTTCGCGTATCATTGGCTACACACGCAGCACTGCTGCAGCAATATCTAGTGAGGCAGCTGCGGCAGCAGCGTTGGCCCCCCAGTAGCACTAGCAGCAGCAACAGCCCTAGCAACAGCAGCTACTGCAAAACTCGCCCGTCGCTATACCGGGCTGCATGCATCACAATTATCCTTAGTTCTTTTCTGTCTCTCCCCAACACTGCAGCCGTGAACTGCCAGTCCCGAGTAAACCGCATGATGCTTATCTGCATCCATGCAAGCTGCGGGCCTGCACGCGCATGCGCGCTTGCATGCACTGGGGAATTCAAAGGAAGCGCATGCAGCGTCATTTGCGCGCGATGTCCGTGCATGCATTTGCCGGGTCTCCTTCTTTGGCCAGACTTCGGTGGGCTCCTGAAACGTTGAACAATCTTCCTGTTTTGTCTGTCTTCCGCTCTACTGTTCCTCCTCTGCCTGTTCCCTGTTGGCTTCGTTTGCTTCTTCTCTCTCCTCTTCATCCTCTGGGCGCGAGTACAGGCGCATCATCGGCTTCGTTGGGTCCTTTAGCAGCACGTATCTGCGCAGTCACCCCCAGCCTTGCATGCATGCCGCATTGAGCGCATGCACAGCAAGCAAACATTGCGGCAGCTGCTTTTTACTTGTTTTCAACTTCTCACCTGCCGTCAGGCTTGTCTTCGAGCAGATCGAGTACAGCCCTCACAATACCCCAGGCGTTTTCCGGCCTGAGACCAATTTGCCTTCCCAGGTCTCTTGTCTGATAATTGTGCACCGTCAGAATTAAGTGCTGCTCTGTTAAGCGAAAAGAACAAAAACAACATGACTGCGAGAATGTATAACGAAAAATGGGGAGGCAAAGCCAGAAGTCAATGACATAGTATACAATTGCGGCAAGCGCTTTCAGAAAGCTAACGCAAGACAAGAGCAGCAGCACTAGTCGCAAGAAACGCAGAATAGAACCGGAGCACGACGGCAGCAGCGCAAGAGTGCCAAACTTTGAAAAGTGTCTGTAGTCGGAACGACTAAGCAGGCAAAGGAATTCACCAACCCGATTCATTCTCACCATTGTCGTTGGGCGTCTTCCTGGCGACAAAGCCAAGTCGAAGCTCATCACAACCGGCAATCATTGCTGATGTCACAAACTTTCTCAATTTGCAAGCGTTGTTGCGAACCTCCGTGGCCAAAAGAGCACCCCGCTGGCTCTCTAAGAGAGTGCGCCAGTTCTTCTGCCCTGCGCCTCAGCATACACCGCAGCGGATGGGAATTGGGCAGCAAAGCCAGATTTACTACAAGGAAAAGATAATTCATGACGAAATGAACAACCAGAAAGGCCGATCACCATGCAAAAAAGTGGACTACAAAAGTAAACCAGCATGGTTCTCGTTCGGTTTTGTATCAGCCATAGCGCCAGCTTGAAATGAACAGGCGAATACATACTATTCGAGAAGGCAGTTTTATGGATATTCAAAATAGTACTAATTCAAAATAATACTCATACGGATAATAAACAGAAACGGTAAGGCAGGACAATCTGCTGCAATACGCCCCACGCAGTGGAGAAAGCCAGCAAACGAATACATCAAGAAATACTTGAACAGCAATACAAAACCACACAATAAATCACCTAACAATTAACATGCACACATAAGCAGATAGAAAGCAATCAGTAAGCAAATTAAGGTGCCTTTACGCGTAATTTCGTGAGGCGCAGGGCTAGATGAACCCGAACTGTGCAGCTAGCGACCAGGCATCCAAACAAACAATAAGTTAAAGAATCGACATTAAAAAAATATGAAAAGAAGCATGAGGCAAACAAGCTCTCACCTTTTGGCTCTATCTCGTTAAGAGCACAAGTATAAATGTACCCTCCCCCATCCACAATGAAGTTGTCACCCTCTCTTGCTTCCTTCAGGTCCGCGCGCGCCATTGGAGACTTGGCGTAAACCTCAGCCCTGCATGCAGAGCCAAAGGGAAAGCATGCATGTGATTGCAGGATGCAGGTATTACAGGCAAAGGTGAACTTCGGGAGTACAACAAAGGAAATTGACGTCGAAAGACACCAATGGAGACAGAAACGAAAAGGCAGATAAAGACGCTGAGACGCAACTAATGAGAGGCAGCAACAGGGCGGCAAAAGCTGAAAAGGAAGGCGGAATAAACAGCGACACCTGACGCGAACCAGATGGGGCGATTTGAGGGGCATAAATGGACAAAAAAAGAACATGCAACACATAAAACATAACAAACCTTGTAAGGATGTTGATGGGGCGGCGAGAGGCGTTCGGTCCGGCGCGAGGAGGAATAGTGAAGAGGCGGTATCTGAGATGAGAGGCAGAAACATCCGCTGACTAGCTAATTGCACAGTAGCCTTTCTTCGCTATTATTACAATTATTTTTAAACTAATAAGTGGGGAAAAATACATGGAAAACGGCAAAGAAAAGGCGAAGACCCGCACTCAGATCAGCAGGCAACAAAACGCAGAAGCTCAGAGAGTAACGGTGCAAACAAATATGCGAAAAAGCATGCACCAGACAGAGAGAAAAAGAAGAGCAAATGAGAAAACAAGCAGCAGCATCTCTTGCGTGAGATGCCTGCGATAGACACATATATGAAACAATGGAATAGTTTTCCAACACAACAAGCCCTCTGAATAGAAGCAACCGAACCTATTAGTTTCCGCAACCAGTTCAGGCACTTCACTCATACCTGTAAGCAATGGTCGCAGGAGTATCCCCACTCTCCACAAATGGGGCAGGCGGATACTCAGCAGCGATTTCGCCGGGCACCAAGAGCTGCTGCCTCAAATTCTGGTTGATACGGACAGCCTCAAACCCTAGAGCTGCTGGGCGATTTAGGCGGTTCTGCACGCAAATGTTACATCCTAAACCCTCTGTCTTAACCCCCTAAGCAGCGCAATAATGCTATCTTCAGTTCTTGCGCACGTTCCGAAGTCCTAGCGTCACAGGAACTTGGGCAGTCCTATCAGAGGCTAACCCTACAGGCTCTACCCAAGACCTTTTACTAACCCTAAAGCATAGTCCTATACAGATCTGTGGCCCTTGCTGCACCGTTTAAGAGTCTGTGGCGCCTTCTAAACCCTCTAAAGCGCAAAACTCTAAACCCTAGACCCAAGTCTCACCTCTGCATCTTGCATTGGGGGCTCAATGCTCGTTTCGTTGACGGTGAGCAGATCCACAATGGATCCATTGGCCTTGTCGATAATGATTTTCCCGTCAATCTTGGTCAGGTAAAGATGCCACGAGTACTTGGACTGAGGCGCCGCCATGAGGCAAGCCAGTACCTGGTCGGTTGCTGCAACATCAACCTGTTTGCTGCCGTTTAACATATAATCCTGCAGTTCATACGCGCAAATAATCGAATAAAACGCTCCACAAACGATCTAAGTCTACAAACAGTTACACTAGGTGAAACTGAGGAGGGGGGATGCACTTATTTGGCCGACGGCAGAAAATTGCTCGCCCGCAGGACGGCAGCAGCAGCAGTAATAGCAGCAGCGGCACGAAGCGCAAATGCTGCAGGAGCAGCAGCCTCAAGCCCACCAACCATTGCAGCAAAAGGCAAGCCCAGCAATTCTCAATAGCAGCACAAGCAGCAGCAGCAGACGCAGCACCAATAACACCCATCACCAGCCGCAGCTCCACCCCAACATTACACCGACCCAACCCCCAGCAGCAGCAGCAGCAATAGCAGCAGCAAATCTGACCCTGATGACTTCATCATCTTGTGTGGTGACCCAGTAGTAGTAGAAGTTGCTGCTGAGGTTCTGCATTGGCACCGGCAGTTTGCTGGAAATCTTGTCAGCTTGCCGCGAGTAGACACCCAAGGTGCCGCGCCACTCCAAGTCCTCAACAGTTACACGTGCTGTAGGACACAAAACAAGAGAATAAGTGAATAATCAACAAACGACTAATAACCGCTCATGAGTAGAGAACAAAATACTGTGTAGGAGGGGCAAAAGAAACTAGACACTAGTGAAATCGACGCAGAGGCATCCGGCTGCGCATCCTGCCGTTAGGGAAAATATGCACAGCTCCAAACACGCAAAAACTGCTGCTGCTATTTCTGTTGCACCTGCTGCTGCTGTCGCTCGTGCTGCTGCTGTTGCTCCTGCTGCTGGCGGAACCATTCCCACCCTGCCCAACCTCTAGAACCCTTTCGAAAAAGGAAAGCTAGGAAAGACAGAGCCAACTGATCTGTACCAGCCCCGACCAAAAGAGTAATGGCACGCCCATTGCCACGAATATGAACACTAGAAGCAAGAAAACTGCAGCTGCGCTTACGAGTTTCAATCTGCTGCTTGTGCAGCTGCTGCAGCGGCAGCTCCGCCAGAACCTGCCAGTCGTTGGTGGGCTGAATAGACCATTCAGAGAAGGCGCGGTGGCGCGCGTGGATGCGGGCGTATCTTGCCTGAGATAAAGATATCAAAAAGTTAAATTTGACGAAATTAAATTCAAGTTTTGAACCAAAAAGTTGAACTGAGGCCGAGGCTGCCTAGCAATGGGCTTTCTGCTTCCTCCAAGGATATTTTCTGGTTGGTGAAGGAAGGAACTGCAGGTGGTGGTTTGTTCAACCCAAACCCCAAACCCTAAACCCTAAACCCTGAGTCTACTTCCTCGAGCTAATTTTCTGAATTTTTCCAGAAACGAACTACCAATGCAAGTGAAACAACTCGAGCAGTCGTTTTGAAATGAACGGAAACAAGACGCACTTGCTGTTGCTGCTGCTGCTTCTTCTGGTCGCTCTTTGCCTTTTTGCCCAACTTCAGCTCCTCTTCATCTTTTGTCTTTTCGTTAAATGCTGCAGTTGTCTGCTTCACCGGGGCTCTGCGACGGCTGAGCCAGCCCTCTGTAGACAAGTACGCAAAGAGGCGACTTGTGGGCATTTGGGCGAAACTTACTGGCCATTCAAGTTTTGAATTTGAAACAAAGTCATTTGAACTTAGAACGAAAACAAGGTCCAAAGAGCTATAAAGCACAGACAGACAACTATATAGAGTTACTCGCCCATGAGCCCTCAATCCAAAACCCTAAACCCTAAACCTTAACAAGAAATCCAAACCCTAATCCTACCCCCTAAACCCTAGCAGGAAAACCCTAAGCCCTAAACCCTTAACCCTCAAGCTTAAACCCTACCTCCTGTGGTCTTGTGCCGCATCATTGGCTTGCTGTCAACCATGTGGAATTCCTTCTCATCATCCACTGGAGCCGCTCCCCTTGGGTCTCTTTGCTTCTGCAGGCGCACCCAATTCCAAACCGTGAACCCTAAACCCTAAACCCTAAACCCTAAACGCGGAACCCTAAACCCTAGTCGGCGCGTCGCGTTGCCCCCAAATGGCTGCTTTCAATTCACCATAGCTGTTTGTCAGCCGAAACACAAACCCTAGCGCCGACCCCAGCCAGCCGCTATCTTCTATAGTGTAAACCCTAAACCCTAAACCCTAAACCCTAGACTCACGCTGTTGAATGTGAAATCGCAGCACCTAAAGAGCTGCTGAGAAAAGAGAGGAGACTTCAGGTTGAGGTCGAAAGGCAAAACCTCCAAAAGGGATAAACCCTCCTGCAAATGGTCATCCTCAGATTTGCTGTTTGGCTTCTCGGGGGGCCCCCAGCAGGGGGCCCCGCCAGAGGCGTAGGGGAATATGTCGTTGGCCGAGGCAGGCATCGCAGCAAACCCTAAACCCTAAACCCTAGGTAAACCCTAGGTAGCAGAATCGCCCTGTGCAGGCCACGCAGAAGCCACACATGCACAAAGCCGCTAGCTCCGAGACCCAGGATAAACCTGAACCCAAGGGAAGCTCTCAACAGGAAAGCCCTAAACCCTAAACCCTAAACCCTAAGCCCTAAACCCTCCTTCTGGCCCTGCTCCCGGTCCAAGGCCCCCAGCAGCCCACACTGACGCCCACAGCGCTCGTGGCCTCCGCAGCCAACAGATGTGTTAGTCACGGTGGACTAGGTGCGAGGGTTTAGGGTTTGGGGTTTAGGGTTTGGCGCATGCGTGTGGGGGCTGAGCAAGAGCGCTGAAAAACAAGCAGCTGCCGCTGCTGCTGCTGCCTCAAACGCCGTAATATAATTTGAATATGTCTTTAATTAAAAGTAGAAAGTGGTGAGGCAAAGATCTAGGAGTTCTTCGCGGGCCGAGGACATAGGGCTTAGGGTTTAGGGTTTAGGGTTTACGGGCCCCCCACAAGACCCACCGCGGAAGGAAGAAAACCACTTGAGCCAACAAAATCCCCAGAAACCAACTAAGGCTGAGGTGTAAATGCCGCAAAACAAAGCCTCAGTGTACAACTACTGCTGCTGTTGTTGCTGCTGCTGCTGCTGCTGCTGCGCAACGGGGCTTTCCAGGGCCTTCTCTCAGCAAGTGACCCTTAACTTCCAATTATATCTTTTCTCCTTCGTATTAATCTCAACTCTGCTTTTAAATATGTTTTCCAGACACACAAATACCTGCCTTTGACCACTGCGTGCTTCCCGAGCCTCCAGCAGCAGCAACAGCAGCAGCAGCGGCGAAGGCAGCAGCACAGAAACTCCCGAGGAAGTGACACTGCAGTTTCTTAGAAGGCAAGCATCCCGAGACAGAAGCGGCGGTATCTGCAGCCGCCTCAACTAAACAATCAGCAGAGAGCAGCAGCAGCAGCAGCAGCAGCAGCAACACAGGAGCAGCAGCAGAAGGAGCAGCAGCAGTGAAGGTCACCGCCGCTGCTGCGGAGCCTCACTTGTATGCGTGGCTTCTGGAGGCCCTCAGATTGGCAGTGAAACGACACCAAGAGCCCTGCCAGCCGCAGCATCTGCAGCGGGCGCAGCTGCTGCAGCAAACGCTGCAGCAGCAAGAACTGCAGCGCAGCAGCAAGAACTGCAGCAGTTTCTGCAGAAGACTTGCATGCACGCAGCCCGAACTTCATGCTCAAGAAGCAAGACCTGCAATAGAGGCTGCAGGAAGCAAATTCCGCTGCAGCAGCGCCGCCAGCAGCGGGAAGAGCAGCAGCAGTGGCAGCAGGAGCTGCATCGCCAGCAGCATCTCTGGCTGCTGCAGCGTCGGAAGCAGCAGCAGGGAGCCGCAGCCAGCTGCAGCAAAGCAGCAGAGGCTGAGAAGCAGCAAAATGGTTCGCAACGGAGTGCTTTTAATGGGCCCGGCGGGGAGCGGGAAGAGCACTTTGTGTCACCACCTGCAGCAGCAGTACGAGGTGTCTAGACACCGCGTGGCCTGCGTGAACCTGGACCCTGCTGCTGAGTACATGCCTTACGAGCCTCTGGTGGACATAAGAGAATTAATAACAGCAGATGACGCAGCAGAGGAGCTGCAGCTGGGCCCGAACGGCTCGCTGGTGTTCTGCATTGAGTACTTGGAGCAGCACAAGGAGTGGCTGGAGGAGAAGTTGCTGGAGTTGTGCGAAGACGACTTGCTGCTGTTCGACTTGCCCGGGCAAATCGAGCTGTTCGTACACCTCGACTCTTTTCGATTCATTTTCAACTACTTGGAAAAACAAGGATTCAGATTTTGCGTGGCTTATTGTCTGGACGTGAACTTCTTCACGGACGCGGCCAAGTCCATCAGCGGCTCGCTGCTGGCTCTCAACGCAATGCTTTTCTTCGAACTTCCCCACGTCAACATTTTGACCAAGTGCGACTTGGTCAGCAAGCTGAACATCACCACCCGGGAGAGCAGCAGCAAGCGCGGGCCAAGACGCAGCCACAGACCCAGAGGCGCTGCTGCAGCAGCAGCTGCTGCTGCAGCAAACGACCGCGAAGAGGAAGAGGACAGCGAAGAAGAAGAAAGCGACGAAAGTGATGAAGACGAAGCCGACACGGCGGGCGCCCAGTGGGCCGGCAGGTGTATAGACACCTCAGCTTTCGCTGTACGGGTGGACGACGCGGGCCCAGATGAAACGGAAGAAGATATTGTTGTCGAACAACTGCTTTCAAAGGACGTGCAACAAATAGTGGAAGAACTGGATGTACGCTGCAGCTGCTGCTGCTGCTGATGCTGCTGCTGCTGCTGCTGCTGCTTGTGCTTGAAGCGCAGGCGTAGTGCTGCTCCCTTCGCCTCTGGATGTGCTGCTGCTGCTGCGGCTGTTGCTGCTGCTGCTGTGCTCAGGATAACATGCCTGCGAACTTCCGTGATCTTCACCGAGCCTTTGCTTCTGTCTTGGAGGAATTCGGACTTGTTTCTTTTTATCCTTTAAACATCTCAAACGAAAATTCAATTATCAACTTAGGCACGCTCCTCAGAAGCACTGTGCAGGCAGACGAAGACGACGAACCGCGGGCGGACTATGACTACCAAGCGGAAGCCTAGCAGCTGCTGCGGTTGCTGCTGCTGCTGCTACAGCTGCTGCTGCAGTTGCTGCTGCAGCTGCTGCAGTAACGGTGGCCTAGCTCCTGTTTGAGTTGCGGGTAGGGCAAGCAGCAGCTGCAGCAGAGGACCTCGTTGCTGCTTTATCAGGGCAAGCTGCTTTCTGCGGAGGTGCAGCAGAATAGACCCAGCGATCTGCTGCTGCTGCTATAACAGTTGCTGTCGCTGCTGCTGAATCCTTTGCAGCTCTAAGGAGCTGCCGAAGTCTACTGTTGTTGCCATTATTCCCAAATACAATTTCGCTAGGAAGAGTTAGCTGCACTCAAAAGGTAGAGGCACTCTAACAAATTGGGGGAATCTGATGCTATTATATTTTGAAAAGGTGCAGTGACACCCCAATCCTCGCGTTGCCATGGCTGTTGCTACCAGCAGCGCAACACCTTTTCTGGTTTGAAACCAGTAGCAGCAGCAGGGCTTGTGCTGCTGCTGCTGCTGCGGGATCGACAGCCGGTGCTTTACACATTTTCGTAGCTGCTGAGGTGCTGATGCACTTTTTGCAGGTGTTGCTGCCGCAGTTCCTGCAGTTGATACAGCAGCAGCAGCTACCGCTGATTGCTGCACCTGGTTCAGGTTTGGCTGCGCATGAAGCGGCTGCGCTTGTTGCAGAAGCTGCTGCAGCGGTCTAAGAGACTGTTGTATTGTCTGTTGCATCTTTGCCTTTTCTCTGTCAAAAGCTTTTAAATACGGCAAGGAAGGTGCCAGTTACGGCTTTCTTGCATTTGCGACCTTTTGCCCAAATGCTGTCTTGTTTTCCTTCAAGCTGGCATTCCAAATAGACACAAAACAAATTCACCACTCAGATCTGTTGTGAGTCGAAAGCTCACACTCTAAGATTCAAGACTAGGGGCTTAGAGCCCAAGTAGGCTGCTGCTTGGCAGCAGCTTTGTTGCTCTCGCCACTGCTGCGCTGCTGCTGGCGTTCGAGCAGCAGCTGCTGCTGCGTCAGCTAAGGCGTGCGCGGAACTCAGGCGAGTTTTCGCTTTCTTGATGCAAAGAAAGCAGCAGCCGCAGCACCAACTGCAGCAGTAGCAGTAACAGCAGCAGCACTAACAACAACTGTAGCAGCATTGGCTTCACTCGCAGCACAAGCAGCAAATATCAGCTTCCCACTTTCTGGTGTGCGTGGGGTCAGCAACGGCTGCAGCTGTTGCTGGTCGTTTGTTGATTCTACAGTCGCTGCTGCTGCTGCTGTAGCCGCCGCATCACCAGCAACAGTAGCAGCAAAAGCTACTGCTGCTGCCGTCAAGTGAACGTGGAAACTTTGCCTTCTTCTCAACCGCTGAGCAGATATTGGCAGAGGCTTGGATTTGCTTGAACCCTTTTTTATCATCTGATATATCATTTATGATTGATTTGTTTGTTTTGTCTCTTATTTCGTTCGGTCTTGTTGTTTGCTCGTCTCAGTGCCTGTTCATACATATCTCAAGCCCCTCGTTCGTTTCTTCTTTGCTTGCTTTTGTTCGTTTGCACTAGTGCGCCAACTTTATCTGGTTCACCGTTATTTTTGCACATTTCTCTGCACTAGTCTTTGCTTTCCTTTTGTGTTTATTTGCCAATTTCTTTGTTTGCCGGCGCATCTGGTTGGCTGTTTGTTTGCTCTTGCTTTTGTTTGTTCTTTTGCATATTACTCTCTCTTTCCACTGCTCGCCCGTTTAGTCTGCGCCTGACCTCCTGTGTTTTTTTAAACTGCAAATTGTAATCCACTTCCCCTATTTGTTTCTTTTTCCCCTGTATTTGTGTTTGCCTGAATGATTACTTTTCTCCCCTGCCACTAAGTTGATGTTGGCGTATTTCTGTTTTCGAGCTCCTGCGCTACGTCCCCTTTCCCAGTTGATAGCAGCAAAAGAGTGCCCGAAAAGGTGAAAGGAAACGGTGAGACATTATTTGTTTGAAAGGCTTTTGCTTAAGCCTCCAGCACAGGGATGAAAGCCTACATCGCTCAATATTAGTCCAAATGGAAGCATTTGGAGTGACACGGACTCCGTAGCATGCTGCATCCCCCAAAAGCCCCTACAGCACCTAAATATGTAATAGCCTAAAGATGTCATCCACAGCTTTCCTCTGATCAGCTAGCATTCCCCAGAAAAGCCTCCGCGATCTACACTCCTTATCCACAAATGAGGTCTCGTTGCTCTCAGCTGTGAAACTGGGCAAGAGGGGTTTATTCTCCCACACTTATTTGCAAGTGAACAAGCGAAGATTTACTAAGCAAATGGCCTTCCTCTTTTGGCTTGAATATAACAGTTTTACTTCCGTATTTAATCCTAAAATGCACGTCGGGAACAGGAGACGCTGTCTGTGTGCGGAGATGTGTCGACGGCTGGCCATCAAGTTCCCCTGGGCCAAAACAAGCTCAATTTCCCACTTTCAGGGGCTAAAAAAATTTCAAACAACTGAAGTTTCCAATTTTATTCTTAGTAATTGGGGAAAAAGGCGGACGTTTGTCGAGTGGATCCGGGCCGCAGCCGACAGGCGCAGAGGGGTCCGGAGAATGTGGTCCGTCGGCGATGGTTCAGTTTCGCGCCTTCTGCGAAAGGGCTTGCTGACGCATATTTTGCGAAGTTTACTTTTGAAAAGAATTGATCAAATAACGTAAATTAAGGAAAGGGTATTGGTTTAAGGCTGGGTTCTTCAGGCAACTATGACTGTCCCGTGTTGTCCTTCTTGAGTGTGCAAATCGAGATCAACCGCCCTGCAACTCCACTGATTTGCCCTCCGAGCTGGCTGTTAAGTGGGGTTGAAACGCCCCTAAACATTTGTATATTTTAGTAATCCTCAAAGGCCTTTGATGTGCCTGTCCTTCTTCCCATTTTCAAGATGAAGACAGCAATTTTCTGGATTGCTGCAGCAGCGCCTGCCTTGGTTTCCAGCTTGCAGCTGCATCCACGGCTTAGCGACGATGCAAATCTTGCCTCAGCGCCGCTCTTAGAGGAAAAGAGCCCGCAAGCTCTGCTGCAGATGGACCGCCTGCGCCAGTTAGCACCCAGAGCCCGCCTGATTCGTGAGTTGGGGCGCCGTATCAATCAAGGTAATGCTGCTGGTGGGCTTCCAGAAGGCGCTGAAAGAAATGGAAACAATGCCTGGCCAAGCCAACTGGGCAGGACAAGTGCCGATGCCGTGCTGCAGAACCGGCTGGCCCGGCGCGCCGCTGCAGCAGCCGCTCCGCATTTCGCAGCCCAGTCGCGTTTGTTGGAGCCGCCATCTGCTGATGCCCACAGGCCTGTCTTCGCCCGACGCCTTGTCTCTCCTCCTCATAGGCAGCAATTTCCTCCTTTCCAAGGCTCGGGGGCTCCAGGGCTGAGGCGAACAGGTGCTATTCGTTTGAGTTCAACTTCCGCGGGAACCTCTGAGGGCAAGGAGGCACAGCCGCAGCAAAAGGAGGCCACGCCAACTTTGACTAAAGAGCAGACGGAGGCACTGCAAAAGGAAGTGGCTGACGCTGTTACTCACAACACTAGAGTGCTTAAACTCGAAAGCCAAAACAGACCGTCGTCGTCATTCAAGCAAAATGTAGAGCGGAGTGTGCTTAAAGCGCTGAAGTCCATGTGTCCTGAGAACACTGAAGATGGAACAGTAATACTGACAAGCATGAGGGACATAGCAACTGGGGACTTGGCCTTTCACTCCGTCGTCGCGAAAGTTGGGCCGGTGCTTGGTGTTGGGGGTGCTGGTCTGGTGCTACAACTGGAGCTTTTGAACGAAAATGCTGTTTCAGCTCTGGGTGTCAAGCAGCTAGCAGCAAAAGTTACATATTTCCCAGTGCCGAACCCATCGCCCTCGCCGGCTGAACTGAAGCACGCAAGGCAGATGATAGAAGATATATGTGCGTCCGAGACAAGTTCAGTTAAGCGGCTAGTCCTCGCGGCTACTCAAAACCTCCCAGAAGGTGCCAAAGTTAGCACAAAAGAAGTAGCAGATGAAAACGGCTGGGCGTTGCCGCTGTTTGAGGCTTACGTAGGGTCGCCAGGACGTGGGCCGCAGCACCATGGAGGTCACATGATCGGCGGCAAAGTGGTTCTTTCCCAAATAATGCTGGGAGATGGACTATCCCTGGGCTTGCCATCTGGCAAGGGCGAGCCCTATTTGGCGCCAAGTCTGCAGGCCCGAGAGCTGCTTTGCAAGGATCTCATTATGAGTGTGTCGAGAATGCACGAGTTAGGTCAGTGCCACATGGACCTTAAGCCTGAAAATGTACTTATTTCTCCCAGCGGAAAGCCGCTGTTGAGCGACTTCGGGATGGTGGGAAGGTCAGGGGAAAGTAGGGCATGCTACAATGGCACCATTTTGTTCATGGACCCATCCACTGCGTCTTGCGCCATCCGCGATGGCTACTTGCCCGTAAGCGCATCCTATGATGCATGGGCATTGGGGGCAACGCTATATGTCTTTTTAACTGGGGGGCAAATGCCCTACAAGATTGGTCCCGGAGAGAATTTGCTGAAGAAACTGGCCTCCTTGGATACCACTAATCGGAGTGCACGAGCCAAATTGACAAGTCTTGTGAAGGGAGAAACGTACGAAGACCCCACAACCAAACTTTTAGACATGGGAGTTTCACCCAAGCTGGCCCATGCTGTTGGTACGATGCTTGACCGCGACAAATATAAAAGATCTAGTGTGGTGGGAGTGGCAAAGGCTCTTCAGGATTAATGGAGGCTCCCTGCTGCGTACACTGCAATAAGTCACTAACGATGATTGGCCTTTGGAATGTTTTTTATTGCCAGTGGTGTTAATGGAGCTGGGGATAGGCTGGACTGGAGGAAATAATCGCGAGTGTGGGCAGGGTGGCACCATTGAACCGCGCTGTTATTTTATAGCTTGTGCGTAGACCCTTCTTGTTTGAATCAATCTTCAACAAAGTGTGTGACAGCGTGTGTGCAACGTTAATACTGTTGCCATCCCTCATTGACACCTTAGTCTGCGGTGGTTGTTTTCACTGCAAGTTGGGAAAGGCAGAGCTCGCTACTTTTGGTGTCTCAACGCTGCGCCTGGCAGTGTGCGAAAGCATTTGTTTTCTGCAAAACGGAATAATCCAGACCAACACTGCAGACTGCATATTTAACGCCTCATTTATCCAGAGGCACTGAAGTGCAGTTGCTTTTTCGCTCTATAGTACTCCCATCTACCAGTCCCCCTAACGATCTTGTTACTTAATACGTAACCTGACAGATCCAGCGAGCATACCTTCTCGTTCGGCTAAAGAATTTAGCAATGTTATCTCGTTCGGCTCAAAAATTTGGCAATCTTATCCGCTAGTTGTGCTCGGCTGCATTCATAAAACAAGAGGAATAATGGGAGCATGCATTTACAACTGAAGCCGTCAGGATGACACACCAGAGATTCAATAGTGTCATGTGTTTGCATTACAACACTACAATGTAGCAATACCCTGGCTCTGCAGAAGCTTGGCCACCTGCTTCATAACTCGATTGCAATCCAAGACTGGCGTGGACATGTCTGCGATTGTTGCATCTGGCGCAAGCTCTGGCCAATTTGACAAGCCCTCAAATAGTCATAATAGCATTTTTGTTGGCAATAAGTGCCTGTTTTGCGGAGAACGGAGGCGCCGTTGACGCTGTTTCAATGTCGGCGCACTTGTGTGACCCACCAGTAACATCACACTGAGACGAAACTCACAGTAGCAAAAACTATTTGAAATTCATTTTTGAAAGCTTTAAAAGGGATATTGTAACATAATTGCTTGACTGTTTCGAGAGGAAGGCATCGACTGGTGTCGCCGGAGGGGTGGGTCGCTAGCGGCTTTGCGAGGTGACCCCGACTCGGACCATGAGTACTACGTATTAACTCGATGTGCGAAACACAGGCCAGACAGCAACTTAAAAGACTTTTTGATAAATCATTTAAAAACTAAAACCATTTAATTCGATTGCAACTTGTGGGACGCACACAATGAAGCCTGCTAGCAGGCGGCTGGCGACCAGCGGTCCTGCAGCGGTTCAATTTGTCGCAGCAGAATGTGCCGATGCAACTTTTAAGGCTTCAACAAAATGAAGTTTGTTAAAATTTAGTCTGCATTTATAAATCAAGTATATTGCGCAGGCGTGGATGAAACGGGAGTGAATCTGCATAACGGCTTGCGGCTACCGTGCCTCGCTGGTCTGACCCCCTGGCCCACCTTGCAGCCATGGCTGACAGCCATCACGAAGTCGAGAACTCCTGCCGTTGTTAGTGACTTATTTTTCCTCGTTGAAAAAACTTATTTTTAGGCTGCACTCAAATGCACCTCGACAGATATGGCCACGTAGATCTCGTCGGAAACTGCTAAGTCTCGATCTGTTCTCTGCGTTGAGCGCAGTCGTTTCAAGAGAGCCATTTTGGGCAGTTTTTCCCCAGCTGGAGCTCCTTGATACATCAGTTTTATTGGCTTTTTGAACCTGTTGTTTTGTTTGTTACCCTCCTCTCTACTGGCCGCGTTGTTCTAGCAAAATGCGGTCGGCTCTCCTTTTCGCGGTGTCACCCGCCCTGGTGTTCGGCTTTAAAACGGACCGAAGAGACATCAGCAGTTTGTCTCTCTTTTCATCACCTTCTTTAAAGATACAGGATGAGGGGGCCTTTGAGGCAGCTTCATTCCTCAACCGGCTGCGCGGAATCCCTCTGGGCATGCCTGCAGGAGCAGTATCCCCGCAGCAGCAGCAGATGCGTGGAGCTGAGCAGCAACGCATGCTCCTGGGCGATATGTATGGCAGACTGAGGGAGCGAGCTCCAATGCCCGTCCCTGCCAAGCCTATGGCTGTCGGCCACGCACCCCTGCGAGCAGCCCCACGCGTGCTTCCCCGCGCTCAGGTGGCCCAGCTAGCCAGGCCTCTGACCCCTGCAGCCCGTTTGATCAGGCCTGCAGCCCCTGCTCCTCCGATGGGAGTCCCTGCAGCCCAACTAGTTAGACCCGGGGCCCCTTTGGCGAGGATGGAAAGGCCCCTGGGGGCAGGCCTGGGGCCTCGGCCGCAGCCACGGCCGCTGCCCGGAGAGGCGAGGCTGCTGCGAATGCAAGCTCCGGCTCCTATGCAGGCCCAAGGAGTGCTAGGCAAGGGTGCTTTGCTGCGCACAGCGACAGTACTGCCTCCCCGTGCTGCTGCTGCTGCACCTGCTGCTGCAGCGCCTGCTGCTGGTGCTGGGTCGCGGCTGCCGGAGGCGCCTGCAGAGCTGCCTGCTGAGCAGCGGGAGCAAATCTTGAAGCAAATAAAGCAAGAGGTAGTCCAAGTAATGAAGCGGAATGTGGATGCAAAGGCAAGAGACAAAGAAGTGGCAGGCACAGCTGGACGACATCCTGTGGAGGATGTGGCCCACGCTGCGCTGGTCAAGATTAGCGGGGGAGGGGCGGCCGACGAAATAATCTTGACAAATATAACGGACCCCATCACGGGCACTGTGCTGCTGCCTCAGTGTTCAGTAAAGGAGCTGCGTGTGCTGGGCGTGGGCGGAATGGGCATGGTGTTGGCTGTGGGCATTGTGGGGGATGCGGACGCCGCGGTCTTGGGCTCGAAAGAACTTGCAATGAAACTCATGTACGAACAACTGGCAGAAGAGCCTTCCACCGTTCCCAGCGCTGCGTCTTTGCCCCCTCAGCTGCTGCGCAGTGTCGCCGATGGCCTCGAAGAGCTTTTCCGACAAGAGCTGGACCCGCTGCACACCGTCGCTGCCGCCGCCCAAGCCACTAAAGGAACCACTGGTCAGGCCGCGGTGTCTTCCAAGGCTATATCTAGCAGCAACCACTGGGCACTACCTCTGTACCAGGCATCTCTGGGGACGGGTGGCTCTGCAGTTCACGTGCACGGAGGCTTTGCGTTCCTCGGCAAAGTGCTCTTGTCTGAAATAATGCTGGGAGATGCAGCTTTGCTGATTTATGGGAGCACCTCTGGCATTCCAGTGGCGCGGCTTGGCATTCCTGCCAAGGAATACGTTTGTGGCGAGCTGATTGCAGCAACGGCGAAGCTGCATGATGCGGGCATGTGTCACTGGGACATCAAGCCTGAAAACATGCTCATAGCCGACAACGGGGATGTGTATTTGGCGGACTTTGGAATGAGCAGCAAGACCAACGAAAAGCGCAGCTGCGAAGAAAAGCTAACCCCCATGTACATGGAGCCTTCCCACGCAGCCTGCGCCATTAAGCACGGCTCTGTCAATCTCGACCCCAGGTATGATGCATGGTCTGTGGGTCTCAGCTGCTATATCCTTCTCACAGATGCAAAACTACTACCCTACGGCATGTCCACAGCCAGACATGTTACCCCTTTTCTCGCCAACCTAGACCCCAAAACCAACCCCAGAGCCCCTCCCTTCCTCAAGAACCCTGAAGACGAGCTAAAGGAACACGGGGTGTCGCCTTTCTGGGCTTCTTTAGTAGGCAGCCTCCTCAACAGGGACCGGACAGCCAGACCCATCCCGCAGGAAATTATTGCAAAGTACCCCCACTTTCCTTTGGAAAGCAGCGAGTAAGGGCCTGGCGGAGCTCAGGGCTCAGGGTTTAGACTGGGAGCTTATGTGTGAGGAGAAGCTTCCCATACAGAACAAGTGGCGGCGGTTTGGGCAGCCCATGAGAAACAGCTAGCTAGTTTCGGTGGCTAGCTGTGTTGTTGGTGGCTAGCAGCGAAACCGCGGGGTGTATGAACACCTCTTGGGGCCTGGAATTGTTTAAAAATACGTGAAGTCAAACACGTACGTTTTAGGTGCATTTTTACGTACTAAATCATTTATATTTTCTTGAACTGCACGCAAATGAATTTACCCTTGTTTGAAGCCGAAATGGATTCGCCATATATTGCGGCTCTTCGCCATTTATTTTTGATTTGGCTTTTGATGAAAACAGGATGAGAAAACCCTTTTTAAACTGAATTCAAGCAGTTTAGTTCTTTGTCTACTTCTACTTCAGATCCCTCAGCTCCCCCGTCATACTGCTTGCTGTTAGGGTTTCTGGTATTGCTGCAGTTGCAATGTTTTAGTATATTCAAGTCAGATGGTGAGAAATTGATGTTTTCATCTCAGGATTTAGGGTTTTCAGCGTCTTGGGTTCCACTCTTGGCTTGAGAAACACTGCTTCCTTCTTGGCTTGTTCGAGGTGGCTTTTAGATTCGGGAAGCAGTTTATGAATTCTTTATGATTAGAAGTATTCTGCACTTCTGTTTTCAATAATTAGAGAGGAAGTAAGTGCATTTGGTTTCTGGCTATTAGTTCTGCCTGCCTTGTTTGTTTGGGATGGCAGTCCTCCGCAGCTAGATCTGCTGTTCATCTAGCTCTATTTCAAATGCATTTATCTTGTTTATTGAGGAATAAATTGAGGAACTTTTGGAAAATATGATAATTAAAGAATTGACTAGCCCACTTTGTTCGTTATCAAGTTTAGGCAGGCTTCTGTAGCAAAGGATCATCAGTTGAATTTGATCCAGCAAGCAGCGCCCAGTATAAAGTGATTGCAGCCAAAAAATGTTCTGAGGAATGCCATACTTAATTAAGCAGAGTCAATCATTTTAAAAGACAGAGACAATCGTGTTTCTGGGCAGCAGTGCAGCACGGTACTGTGTCGGCGCTGCTGTCGCCGCCCATATATAGGCAAGACTGTAGAACCCGCAAAAAACGCCCACAATTACACCACTAAACTAAATATCATAAGCAATTAATGCAATTGAAAGCAAAAATAAACGCGAAACGCGAACACATTATCGTTTTAAGAAGGAAGTACCTCAGGGACAAGCCAAGGTAGCGCCCTACCCTACTGCCTTTTCTTCAACTATTCCTATTTCCCTACCTTTCTTCTACGTACCCTACCTTAAAAAGTTAAAGATTAAAAAAGAATCTCAGGTTTCAATATTTAGCGCAGCCGCCTGAGAATAAGTGAGGAGAAATGTATCTCATCTATCTGTCTACGGCTCGGGCTGCACTTGAGTGCCCCGGGGTTTCGGGGGATCGGTTTTTTCTGTTCCTGCTCACGCTTGGGTTAATTGGCAAAGCATGAATATGAAAAAGATGCTTTAAGCTTATTTCGAAAGAAATTAGATTTCTTCCTTTAATCCTGGGAAAGCTGCAGCTGCACTGCTGGCGCCCAGCACAGCACCACCCCCCCTTGTCGGAGGCCGCTGGGAACGCGGCACGCCGTGCCATGTTGGCGCGTGTGCAAACACAAATGTTCTAAATCCTATTTTGAACATAAAATAGAATTGAAATTTATTTTATTAGTTTAAGTGCCTCGTTCTACGTAAAATACGCGAACTCAGCTCCGGGCCCATGAGACTTCTTCTGTTTCTGGCGGGCGCGCTCGCGCCCGCCCTTGCCTATGGCCACCCACCGCCACAGAAACCAGAAGTCGAAGAAATAGCTGACTCTGAAGGCAACAACACTTATCAAAGGAGCCCCGCAGTGCCCAGGACCTTCGCCGAGGTTGCCAAAGCTGTGCGGCGAGGGCGGGCGGGCTCAAAGATGAGTTTTGCTGACGTGGTATTGCAGGTGATGCGCGGCAAGAAGTCCGCGGACGGCAGCAGCAGCAGCAGCAGCAGCAGCGGCGGCGGCAGCGGCGGCAGCGGCAGCAGCGGCGGCACGAAATACCTGCGAAAGCCGGAGCCGCTGCCGCGCCCGCAGCAAGCAGTTGTCGAGACGATGATGACCAACAAGGCGGCGAAGACCAGCGACAAGAAAGCCTCCGGAAAAGGCAAAAAGCACAAGTTGGAGCACGTTTTGAAGGAAGTGCTTTCTCTGATGAGCGGCGGGAGCCCCGACTTGACCCTCTACAACGTGCGCGACGCCCTCACTGGCGAAACTGTCTTGAACAAATGTGTGGTGGATGTGACTGGCTTGTTGGGGGCTGGAGGCACAGCAGTGGTGATTGCGGTGTCTGTACGCCACAGCGCAGACGCCGAGGCTCTCGGGCTGGACGAGTTCGCCGTCAAAATGCCTTATTACTACTTGGGGGAGATGGAGCAGCCGCCGCCGCGGCAGCTGCTGCGGCTGGTGCACGAGGACATGCAGCTGATGCTGGAGACGGAGCGGCAGCCGCTGCGGCTGGCAGCAGCAGCAGCAGCAGCAGCAGCAGCAGCAGCAGCGGGAGGGAAGCCGACGGCGCGGAAAGTGGCTCGCCAGAACCAGTGGGTGGTGCCGCTGTTCGTGGCCACCGTGGGCTCGCCGAAAGCCTCGCTGCAGGTGCATCAAAACACCGTTTTTGGGAATTCAGTGCTGCTTTCCGAAGTCATGTTGGGAGATGGAGCGGATCTGCTGCACGAAAGCCCCCACGGCTTCCCCGTGGAGCGGCTGCCCGTGGAAGCCCGCGTGCAAGTTTGCCTGCAAGTGCTCGAGACGGTGGCGCGGCTGCACGCGACGGGCTGGTGCCACGCAGACATAAAGCCGGAGAACTTTTTGATCAGCAAAAGTGGCAAAGTCCACTTGGCGGACTTCGGCATGGCCGGCGAGGCCGGCGAGCGCAGAAAGTGTTCCGAGAAGATCACCCCCCTCTTCATGGACCCCTCCCACGCCGAGTGCTTCGTGCGCAAAGGCGAAGCCAACATTTCGCACAAGTACGACTCCTGGTCTGCAGGCCTCACTTGCTACGTCTTGTTGACCAACGGCAAGCTGCCCTTCAGGATCCGCACAGGCCGCGGCCTGGAGGAGTACTTGGCCATGTTGGACGCCACCCACTCCGCCCGCAGTCTCGCGCTGCCGCCGCCTTCCCACGCGCTGCGCGAAGTCGGTGTGCCCGCTGTCTGGGCAGCTGCTGTCAGCGACTTGCTCAACAGGGACCGCGCCAAGCGGCCCACCCCGCTGCAGCTGCTCGACAGGTACCCGGAGCTGCGCCAGGCCAGCGAAAGGCCCAAGAGGAAGGCCAAGGCGGAGGCCTGACGCCCCGCGCCTGCTGCTGCTGCTGCTGCTGCTCCTGCTGCTGCTGCTGCTGCTGCTCTTGTTTGCAAATTCGCTTCGGCCGTCTGCAGCTGTCGCTTCCAGTGATTCGGGTTTTATGGTCACGGCGGCGTTTGGTGCTACGCAATGTGTTTTTGAAGAAACGAATTCGTCACGAACTCGTTTATTCTTCACCACCGCTTACTTTTATGCTCTTCTTAGCTGCTCTTAAGTAAGCGGGAGGCTCAGCTCGCTCCTGGGTGTGGGTTTTATTGGTTTTGTCTCAACGCGGCTCCGCGGCCGCCATTTTGAGGTACTCACAAAGGTTCTGGTTTGTTCTTTTTCTTTTAAATATGTTCGTGGCCGCTTCTAAGTATCCAGTGACTCGTTTAGTGCAAAGTGCACTTCTGCGTTACCTGCAACGGTGCATTTGTGCAAACGCGCAGGCATGTGGGCTTCGCAGCTCAAAGCCACTTCAGTTGTACGACTTCCGTGTATATTGCCGCCATTTGAATAATTGAAAGCAGATTGTTGATCTTAATGCTTTGATCTCAAACTTGTGTAAACCCTAAACTCTACAGTCTTCTCAGCTTTCGCACTTCCGAAGCTTTGAATGCGTGGATCTTTCCTGAAAATGTTGCACTGCATTTTCTTCTATCAGTTGTATTGCGAAGAAGCGCGTTAATGCCCATTGAAGCAATCACAGATTTTCAAGTCTTGTTGTTTTGCTCCTGGTGCGGTGGACTTAAGGATATTTTGTTCATGTTGCAGCTGCCTCGCCTGTGTGAGCACTGAGCCAAGCTTTAATTCTGACAACTTTCATTTATACTGAGAAATTTTAATTAAAATATCTTTTTAATTTATCTATGAAGCAACCGAACTGATTTAATTTGTATCCGGCGGCGGAAAAAACAAGACACCGAATACAGGTTTCCAGTTCTCTGAAAGCACCATTTAAATCAAAACAAATGCAATTGTCCCGTCCAAAAAATATCATACAACAGAAAATATGAATTACACAGTAGAACGGATGCAGAAGGCCATGAGCAGACTGAAATAAGGCTAAGCACACATGAGCAGAAGCAAATGAAATGGTTTAGCTGAGTGCCTTTGTTTGTCCCTTTTAGGGCAGACTAACGCTGGATTACCCACATATTGGTGAAGCTATTGCAGGCCAAACATAAAGGACAGCAAACAATTAGGAGCAACGATAAATTGGTTTCAGCTTCTTCTTGCCTACTTCCCCTCATTGCGTTGGGGACTTCTCTGCACTTAGAGCTCTTCCCTTTGCGTTATTTGAAAATGTGTACATTTGTATTGGACATTTCATGGATCAAAAGAAGTACTCGCGTCCTCGTGAAACAAAAAAAACACATAAATACAGATATTGTACATATAAGTGCACGTTGATAGAGATCTGCACATATTTACACAGAAATGTACCCACATATGTATATGTGTTTATTAATTTATTAATATAAATGTGTTTGTAAGAATACAAGCTGGCACAAAATGCATTTTAATTCGAATTTACTCCGAATCTGTCCCATTTACTTCCAGGTACTTCCACTGCAAGTCTTCTGTGGCAGCTGCATGTTGTTGCTTTCACTACTCATCACTGCTGCCCGCAAAGGCCATTTAACTCCATTAAATAAATGAATAATCACTTCTACAATTTGAAGGCGAGATAACTGCCATTCAAGCAGACACATAAAGTGCCTCCAACAAAACTGCAAGGAAAGCCGTGATGCATAGCAAGTGAGTGGCGGAAAAAAAGTGATAAATGGATGAATAAGATGAATTGGCACACTGGAGTGACAAAAATAAACTTGAAACAAACTGGGAAGTTGAAGTCCAGTTCGACTATTTCGTTTCTGGCTTGAAACCCGCAAAAGTGAGGCGCGGCGCAGCGCTGTACTGCTGCTGCAGCGTTCGCAGCAGCAACAGCAGCAGCTGCAGCAGCAGCAGAAGCAGCAGCACCAGCTGCAGCAACTTAGGGTATTGGCTGAGGGGCTCTGATGTGTCCTTCTGGCAAGGGTTTTCCTTCCTCGTGGTGGTACAACCGAGGATGGCGCCAGCGGATTGCCTTGCGGTACTGCAGCACAGACCCTCGGCTAAACCCTAAACCCTAAACCCTCAAAAACCCTAACCCTCAAACCACAGGTCAGGATGCATGAGAACAGCTTTTAAACTGCAAGAGATGTTTTTTAAAAATGGTTTTGAGGGTTTAGGATTCGAAAAAGTTCACCTCTGAAACTTCCTCGTCGGGAATAAACCCTTTAAGGCACCCTGGTCGGTCATCGGGGTCCGCGTAGTGCTGCACAGCCCAGAGCCAAACCCTAAACCCTAAACCCTAAACCCTAAACCCTAAACCCTAAGCCCTCAAGGTATAATCTTCGCTTCTGAATTGCACTGCGCGAGAAACTCAGTGAAGTTCCCTCATTTACCTCTGTTATGAACTTCACTTGGGCTTCGGGGTACACTGAAGTTATCATGTACCTGCAGCCGCAAATAAACCACCCGAATGAAACCCTAAACCCTCACCCCTAAACCCTTTGACCGAAATTCCGAGCAGTAAACCCTAAACCCTCGGGCCTCCACCAGCTCTCCGGCCTACGCGAAGTTGTTCTGGGCAAATGGCAGCAGCAAACGCAAATACAATAAACCCTGTTGGGGTGTACGTACACCTACGCGAAGTTGTTCTGGGCAAATGGCAGCAGCAAAAGCATATAGAATAAACCCTGTTGAGGTGTACGTACACCTCAAACTTGCCTGGCCCATTCCTTAACCCCCAGGCGGTGCTGCAGGGGGCCTTGAAAGACAAATGCGAATTGGCCGTCGCATGCAGACAGCAGCCGCAAGATGCCGCTGCCCTGCAGCAGCAGCGCAGCAGCAGCACAGCAGCGTTGCAGCAGCAGCAGCAGCAGCAAGACGGCGGCTGACGTCGGGCCGTCGTGCATGCCGCTGCACTACTGCAACAGCAGCAAAAAACGCAGCAGCAGGAGGTATAAAAGCAGCAAGGGAGGTAGCTACACTCAAATGATCAGACGCGAGCAACAGCAGCAGCAGCACGGCAGCTGCAACACAGCAGCAGCAGCAGCAGCAGCAGCAAAAAAGCATACGTCTGGTCTGGTGAAGGTAGGCAAGACGTTCTCTATCTTTTTCACTTCCTGTCCATACACCCCAAATACAAAACAAGGCGAGGCAAACGCAAGCGCAATTCAGTGCAACATCTGGCGAGCGAAAATCACCAACAGCAGCAGCAGCAGCAGCAGCAGCAACAGCAGCAACAGCAGCAGCAGCAGCGGATTTGCTCACGTTCGGGTCTATTCGAGTGCCACCTGCTGCTTCTTCTGCAGTCATTTTTGTGTCTGCTGCTCTCCCAAGCCCCTCCTCTTCTATAAAGACCAGAGTGCCTTCGCGCTGGTCAAAGAGCCTGCAGCAGCAGCAGCAGCAGCAGCAGCAGCAAAGCAGCGGGGGCAGCAGCTGCAGCAGGAGCCGAAGCAACGCGAGTCCAAGCAGCATAGAGGAATTTGTTGCTGCGGCCACGGTCACAGGAAGAAGCTACATGTGGCAGCAGCACCTGTGACAGCAGCAGCAGCAAACGCAGCAGCAACAGCAGCAACAACAGAAGCAACCAGCCGCTTCGGCCGCAACAGCAGCAGCAGCAGCAGCAGCAAAGTCCGCAAGAAATGCCGCAACAGCAGAGAGGGCCCTCAAAACCGCTGCAGCGTCTAGAAGGTGCAGCAGCAGCAGCGGCAGCAGCATCAGCAGCAGCAACAGCAGCAGCGCCACGATCGCTGCCAGCAGCAGCAACCGTGGCAGCACCCCTACCGCTGCCAGCAGCAGCAACAGCAGCAGCAACAGAAGCAGGACCCCCCGCCCTGCCAGCGGCAGCGAGAGCAGCAGCACCACAAGCAGCCCCCCCACTGCTCCCAGCAGCAGCAGCAGCAGCAGCAGCAGCAGCAGCAGCAGCAGCAGCAGCAGCAGCAGCAGCAAACGCACACTCTCTGCGACAGCAAATTGGCCGTCTGGTAGTCAAAGGCAATGTTGGGCTGCTGCTGTCCAATTTCGTAGGCGAAGTCCACAGAGGCCCTGCGGCCGCGGGCGGGCCCGTCGTCGAACAGCGGAATGCCAAACGCATGCAAGCTGCTGCTGCTGCTGCTGCTGCTGCTGCTGCTGATTTGGCTGCTGCCTTTGCTGCTGCTGCTGTTGCTGCGGCTGCTGCTGCACCGTCTGACAAGGGCAACGGCACGTTCTTCAGTCTACTGCGCTTCAAGCTCCTGCAGCCTGCAGGGCTGTGCTGCAGCAGCAGCAGCAGCAACAGCAAGAGGAAAAGACAGTGCAGCAGCTGCGGCACAGGGCCTCTCATTGTTGCTGCCTGGCCATGGGCCCTCACGCCCTAAAAACATATTTGCTACATGCTGCTGCTTCTTGCTGCTGGAGCTGCTGCGGCTTCTGCTGAGGCCGTTGCCACCTTTTATGCTGCTGCTGCTGCTGCTGCTGCTGCTGGTGATGCTGCTTCCAGTGTTGCAGCGCCCCAGCTGCTGCGGCTGCCGCCGTTGTTGTGTTGTTGAAGTTGTTGCAGTCCTGCGGCTATAACTGTTGATGCAGATCTTGCACCTGATGCTGCTGTGTCTGCAGCTGCTGCTGCTATTGTTGCTGCTGCTGCAGCAACACAGTTAACTCACCGTGAGAGCAGCAGCAGCAGCAGCAGTAGTAGCAGCGGCAACAGGACCGCTCCTACGCCCCCAACCAAGCTCTTAAGCAATCAAAAATGTAAATTAAGAAAGAAATGCAAATTTAAAGTTGTTAAGAGACTATTTTATCTCCGTTTGTTCAGCTGCTGTCGGCTGCGGGGCCCTCCTACCGCTGCGCATGCGCTGGCGCAGAAGACTTTGCTGCACTGTGTGTTAAGCCCTCTTGGGGAAAGCAGCAAATAAAAAAAACTAAATAAATTTGAAACTGAGGTGGCTGCTGCTTTTCAAGTCAGCCGGGGGACTGGCCGTGCTCTATGCGCGGCTCCATGCTGCGTGTCTCGCTGTTGCTGCTGTTGCTGCTGCTGCTGCTGCTGCTGCAAGCTGTCAATGACCGCTGTTCAGCTCAACTGCAAGCAGCAGCAGCAAACAGAACTTGAGGCGAGCAAGCAGCAGAGGTGTAGAGTGGCTAAATAGCCGGGAGAAACGCAAGAGCAAGACCAGCAGCTGCAGCAAAGTTATGACGGCAGCAGACCCAGCAACTGCAGCAGCAGAACCTGAACACACATAGCCTGCAGCAGCAGCAAAGCGAGTCATAGAGGCTTCAGCAGCAACAACTGCAACAGTACCCGCCCAGTCGCGAGGCTGAGCAACGGCAGCAGCAGCAGCAGCAGCAGCAGCAGCAGCGACAGCAAAGCTGGCCCTAGCGACAACAGCTGCAGCCACAAGAACAGCAGCGGCAGCAGCAAGAGAAAAGGCAGCAGCAGCAGCAAGAGAATCGGAGGCAACGGTTGCAGCAGGGGATCTAGAACCAGCAGCAGCAGCAGCAGCAGGGAGAGAAACAGCTGCAGCAACAGCTGCAGGAGCAGCAGCAGCAGCAAAGTCAGCAGCAGCAGCAAAAGCAGCAGCAGCAGCAGCAATACTGGCCGGCTGCGCCAATGAGTCGCTTTTCTCTTGAGGCCTGGCGCCGCTTTGGCCCCAAAAACCTCATCAGGCGCCTTCGCCTCAAAATCCGCAGCAGCAGCAGCAGCAGCAGCAGCAGCAGCATCAGAAGCTTAAGCAGGGAGGAAAAGCTGCAGTATCTGCTGCGCAGGTTAAGGCCCTTGTCGTAAGTTTTCTTTTATTCTTTTGCTGCTTCTTGTTTTGCTGCTGCTGCTGCCGTCTCAGGTGTATCTACAGCTCGTGTTTCTGCAGCGTTGCTGCCGCACTGCGAGGCTCACACTCCTTTTATGTCTTGCTGCTGCTGCTGCTGCTGCTGCCGCTGCTGCTGCTGCTGCTGTAGCCACCTGTGCTGCCCGGGGAGATATTCTTGCTGCAGCTGCTGCTGTTGTTTGCTCGCTGCATCTGCAGCCCTGCTGCCGAGCTGCTTGCTTCTGCGGCCGCAGCAGCTGCTGCTGCTGCTGCCAGGTTCATGAGTACTCGTGCTGCTGTTGCTGCTGCTGTTGCTGCTGCTGCTGTTGCTGCTGCTGCTGCAGCCCGTTGCTGTTTATAGGCGGCCTCTTTTACCTGTTTTGTCTGCCCTCATGGCCGCACTCCACAGAAGTTGAAGAGCATGCATTTGCTGCTGGGCAGCATGCAGCAGCAATCCGGAAGCCTGCGACTCCTTTTGCTGCTGCTGTTCTTTCGCTGGCCTCATTTGTCTACCTCAGACTCGAGGCAGCAGCAGCAGCAGCAGCAGCTGTTCCTGCTGCTGCAGCAGCAAGTCATGCTGCTGCTGCACCCTCGCCCTGCTTCTCTGGCCCCCTCAAGCCATCTCGCTATCCCTTCATCTTTTTGCCAGAAAGCAGCTTACGCCCAAGGATGCAGCAGCAGCAGCAGCAGCAGCAGCAGCTGCAGCAGCAGCAATGCACAGAGCAGCAGGCGCCTGCTGCTCTGCGTGAGCTGCATGCGCTGTTTGCTGCTCTGCAGCTTGAGTCTTCCTTGCAGCCATTTTACCTGGTGGAGTCTTCAGATGCTGCAGCAGCAGCAGGAGGCACTGCAGCAGCAGCAGCAGCAGCAGCAGGAGCAGCAGCAGCTCCGCCAGCTGCTGCCACGCTGCACTTCAACTTTGTTGCAGTTGCCCGAAGCAGCAGAGGGGATGGACAGGAAGCAATTTTGTTTCCCTTTCTGTATGACTTCAATGACCCGATTGCCGAGCCTGCTGCAGCAGCAGCAGCAGCAGCAACAGCAACAACGGAAGCAAGTGCAGCTGCACCCAGGGCGGGCGCAGCAGCAGCAGCAGCATTTGCTGCTGTGGTGCAGCACCTGCTGAAAGCAGCAAACATAAACGGCGCAGCAGAAGCCTCCGCCCCAGCAGCAGCACTCAGCAGGTTTGCTGCTGCTGACTGGCTGCTGCTGCTGCAGCAGCTGCCGCCACTAGACGGGCTTATGCAAGGAATGAAGCAAGAAGGCGTGCGGGTGTCTGCTCGAGTTGCTGCTGCTGCTGCTGCTGCACTTACTGTGCAGCTGCAGCAGCACTCTCCGTGGCTAGCCAAGGACGTCATCATTGTTGTTGCAGATAGGCAGCTGCCTTATGCTGCAGGTACCGCTGCTCCTGCTGCTGCTCCTGCTGCTGCTGACCGTGTTGCTGCTGCTGCAGTTGCTGCAGCATTCTTGAAGCTACTTCAGGTGTTTTCTGCTGCACGGTAGCTACTCGTGCAGCAGCAACGGGAGCAGCAGTCCCAGAAGCCAGTTTATCTTGCTGCACTGTTTCTGCTTGTGCTCTGCTGCTGCTGCTGCTGCTGCTGCTGCTGCTGCTGCAGGCCTGCGTGCTTTTGCTGAGTACTACTTCAGGGGGGCCTCTGGGGGCCTTCGGCAGCCACCAGGGGGGGGCCCCTGGGGGCCCCCAGTTCCTGTGCATGTGGGTACTGTGCTGGAGCTGAGCAGCTACGTCCCTGTAGACGCTGCGCTTCCTGCTGCTGCTGCTGCAGCAGCAGCAGCAGAAGCAGCAGCGGCGTTTCAAAGGGAAACAGATAGGATCGAGGCAGACACAGATGAAGCAGCAGCAGCAGCGGCAGCAGCTGCTGCTAATGCTGCCTCGCTCTCAGCAGGCGCCCGCTGGACGGACCCGCATGTGCTTCCGCGCAAGCTGACGCTGCAGCAGCTGGCGCCGCTGCAGCTGTTGCTGCAGCAGCAGCAGGAGCAACAGGGGCAGCAGCAGCAGCAGCAGCAGCACCATATTCGCGGCGACTTAGTGCTGCCCGACTTCGGCTCTTTAAGCTTTGTCCATGTTGACTTCGGTACGTGCCTTTGCTGCTGCTGCTGCTCGGTGCTGCTGCTCTTGCTGCTGCAGTTGACGTTGCCGATGCTGCTGCAGTACATGGTGCGGCTGCTGACGGTCGCATGCAGACTGCTGCAGTTGGTGCTGCTGCTGCTGCTGCTGCTGCTGCAGAAGGTGCCGACGGGCAGGTAGCGAACGAAGACATAGCAAATGTTTTGATAATGGAGGCTCGCAGCGAAGCCGTTCCCATGACTCTGCGCAGCGTAGGCGCTGCTGCTGCTGCTGCTGCTGCTGCTGCTGCTGCTGGCTGCTGCGGCTTCTGCTTGATCTTGCTGGAACGTTTGGCATCAGCGCCGCAACGGCACAAGCAGCAGCCGCAGCTTCCTGCTGCTGCTGCTGCCTGTGCCCCCACAGTGACGTTTCCTGTTCGGTTTTGTGCTGTAGCTGCTGCAGCTGCTGCTTCTGCTGTCGCTGCACTTGCTGCTGCTGCACTTGCTGCTGCTGCACTTGCTGCTGCTGCAGCTGCTGCTGCCTGGATTGGGGCGCTGCGGTGTCTGTGTCTGCAGTTTTGGGAACAGGTTTGGCGGCCTGCGATTGGCGCGGGAGCCCACACTTCTGTGGAGCCCCTTTT